ATGAGCCGGTCACATCAGTCTCTGCACCAGAGGAGCTTACACTCTAATGTCCCCCCACAGTCACACCCTATGATTCTACATCTATATAGCTCTGACATATACCACAGCGCTGTACAGAGAACACTGAGCCAGTCACATCAGTCTCTGTACAGAGGAGCTTACACTCTAATGTCCCCCCACATTCACACACTATGATTATACATTTATATAGCTCTGACTTATACCATAGTGCTGTACAGAGAACACTGAACCAGACACATCAGTCTCTGTGCAGAGGAGCTGACACTCTAATGTCCCCCCCACAGTCACATCAGTCTCTGTACAGAGGAGCTTACACTCCAATGTCCCCCTTCAGTCACACACTATTATTATACATCTATATAGCTCTGACATATTCCATAGTGCTGTACAAAGAACACTGAGCCAGTCACATCAACCTCTGCACCAGAGGAGCTTACACTCTAATGCCCCCCCCCCTCCGCCCCCAGTCATACACTATGATTATACATTTATATAGCTCTGACATATACCATAGTGCTGTACAGAGAACACTGAACCAGTCACATCAGTCTCTGCACCAGAGGAGCTTACACTCTAATGTCCCCCCCACAGTCACACACTATTATTATACATGTATAGAGCTCTGACATATACCGCAGTGCTGTACCCTAATGATACTGGGCAAGGTGTCACCTGCAGAGTCAGAAAAATACAACTTTGCTCTGGGCTACTTCTTCAGTTCCAATGATGGTCAGGAAGATACCCCAACATTTCTATCCACACACTGGTAGCACAGACACCCTAATCCCCATAGAATGTGTCAGCTCGGTGGGCAATAAACCCCTATGCAGACGTCCTAAGACTAAGGCTGGGATTCTAGAACAGGAGGTTCCACAGCTAGAACACCTCTCATCCTGTCCTTGGCCAGTCTCATCTACAGATTCCGTGGTGATTGAGGTGCCTGTGCCAACTGTGTGAGTATAGATGTTGGAACACTCATTAACTACCTCCCGGCCGGCTGTTGTGTATACACGGCCGGCCGGGAGCTTCCTGGATGTAACAGCGCGGCGCGCGGGAAAGACACAATTTAAAAACCGGCAGCGATGCCTATTAACATACAAGCGATCCGCCTGCTATAGAGCCGCCGGATCGCTCGTATAAGGTCCCGGTATGTGCGCCCCCCTCCGCGGCTCTCCCCTCCCGCTGTCGCGCTGATCCCGGGCTGCGCTGTGCCCGGTGCGAGCCCGGGACCAGCATAGTGCCACTCTGACAGGGGATCAGAGGGAGGTCGGTTCACGATCTCTCGCCGGTCCCCTCTCCGCTGTCAGAATGCGGAAGTGTTGTATATTACATCACTTCCGCATTCTCGTGTCACTCTCCAGATTCAGGCGCTGGAGAGAAGCTGATGAACCAGATCTGTGCTTCATCAGCTTCTTCAGGGGGGTCCTAGGTGACATTAGGGGTCTTGGAGACCCCTGATGTCTCCATAAAGAGGACCTGTCACATCTTTTGCGATCACATATAGGGGTTTCTTAGCCCCCTCTGTGATAGCAATAAAGATAAGTGGAAAAAAAAAAGTTTAACCAAAATATTTTTTAAAGTTACACTTAAAAAAGAATTTAAAAAAACCCAATTTTTTGTTTTAAGTCCCCACCCCTACATACACGCATGTAAACATGCGTCAGGTGCGCATACCTGCGAAAACGACGATTGCGCCCATTACGCCGCACAAGTTACATATCGCCGCGAACGTCGCAGTGAGGGCAATAATTGTAGGGCCATTAATCACTGATAACACTAAACTGATGAGCGGTAAAAGCTTTTAAAGCGTCGCCTATGGCCAATTTTGGGTATGGTAGTTTTTGGCAATTTCGCGGGTGCGCGCAATTTTTAAACTTGACATGTTTGGTGTTTTATAACATAATGTTCAAAAAAAAAAATTTCAACATTAAATTCAGTAATTTTTCCTTAATATAGTAAAAAATAAAACCCCTCAGTGGTGATTAAATACCACCAAAAGAAAGCTCTATCTGCCCCCAAAAAATGGTATAAAATTAATTTCAGTACAGCGTTGCATGACGGAATAAACGTCAGTCAAAGCACCGCAGCGCTGAATACAGAAAAATGGCCGGGACAGGAAGGGGGTGTAACACCTGGCCAGCAAGTGGTTAAAACTGAAGAAGCCGCTTGGGGGAAACTATGAAACATCTTCAATGCTACAGAACAAATCCAGTTGAATGTAACCAACTGCTACCAGCTCAGACTGCGACCTTCCATCATCGTCCAGAGTTGGTGATCTGGTGACCCCTGGAGGTCAAATATCAGAAATGTCATTGTGGTCAGGCCCGGATTAACCACAAGGCCACCGGGGCGGCATCGGTTGACCTTGTGCGGAAGTTGCGGGCGAAGGTAGGGAGAGTAAATCCGGCCCTGATTGTGGTGAGAAGGGGGTGGGGGGTCCCCTTTATTCCAAAACATGGCTGCAATCCGAGACCTCATTCACAACTGAGCATTTCGTAGCTGGAATGGCGACGTGCTTTGACGCCCCAGCAGGAAGAATCCCATTGTTTGGCCCCCGTGCACACCTAAGCGTTCTGGAGCTTGAAAGCGTACATGAGCTTCTTTTGGGGCTGAGTTGACCGTCTTGGGCCCAATAGACTTCAATGGGAACAAATGAAAAACAGTTTCATATTTTATCCTTAGTAACTGGTATTTTTTGGGCTAAAAGAATAATAAAACGCTGGCAAGAACGCCGTTACAAATGCTCAAAAAAAGTCCAAAGATGCTTAGCTCAAGTGTGAATTGGGAGTGTATAGAGCACAAGTCCCATCATATCATTGGCACACATCACATCAGCGCCACCTTGTGGCCAATTATCAGATGGCAGCCTGGAGGGCATTGCTGCACTGACCACAGCTTGCCATCATATAAGTGAGGCTCCATCATGGTCCAGTATCTGTTAGGAACGGATGAAGGAACTCCAACACTCCTGAACATTGAGCAATCAGAATATTTTGTACTGGTGAATGAAATGATGGAAGGTATGAGATCTAGATACAGCGAGGGGGATTTATCAAGACTGGAGCAGGCAAAATCTGGAGCAAATTTGCAGGGCAACCAATCAGCACCTCTCTCTCATTTTCAAATCCCAACTGAGCAAACTGAAGAGAGATGCTGATTGGTTGCCATGGGCAACTGCTCCAGTATGATACATTCCCTCCCCAGTTAATCTCAAAGAGAACATGGGTACCCCTTTCCCAGTGCCACCACCACACTCTGGGCATAGCATACGTAGGGTAAAGAAATCTTAATTAGTCCTCATTAGGCTTAAAGGAGAATTATGAGGCGAGTGATTTTCACTCAGCCTCATAATCTGAGCCGACCTGTGACAATGAGACTGTCACAGGTCGGCTCAGTAGATCGGGAGGTGAGCGAACACATAACGTCGCTCGCTCACCTCCCTACAGAGAGCCGTGACAGGGGAGGGGCTGGATTCCCCCCTCCCCGATCCTCCAGCGCTGACTGGCAGAACGGACGGGGGAGGGGGCGGGGACAGCTGGCTCTGCCTCTACATAGGCAGCGCCCGCTGTCACTCAAGCAGCTGGGCGGATCCAGACATAATTGTCGGGATCCGTCCCGCCTGCGGCATCTCAGTATACCGCGAGCTGTAGCTTGCGGTATACTGAGCTTAGGGTGACGGGGGGACGCTAGTTTGTGTCCTCCCGTGCCTCTTAGGAGGACTATGGGGAAAAGCCCTGACCCCATAGTTCTCCTTTAAAGCAAAACCAAAGCCATTTTTTTTTTAGTTGTGGATGGAGTGGTGGGATTAGACCCCCTGTCATGTTTGTGTCCCCATTAGGTAAATCCACCCTCTCTGTTTGTCCTGACGATCGTCTTCATTAAGGCCTCATGCGCACACAAGGCACGGCAAGAGCAAAGTTGCATATTGCGTATATACACGTATGCATGCAATCCCAGAATGCATCATTCTTAACAGAAATTCTAATGTACTGCACGCCCGTACGTGCGCAAAATACGCAGACATACGGAGCCCGGATGCATCTCGGGTCCATTTTTTATTTGCACATCTTTACGCGCCACACGCAGCTATGTGTATGGAGCCATTTATTTGCATATGGGACTATACGCTGCGTATTGTACGGCGGTGTGAATGAGGCCTAAAAGCGAAAGAATATCCCACATTTTGGGTGGTCACCAGAACAGGAATGGATGAGGAATCTTCCAGTGGGGACACTAGTTCTGGCCGCAGGGATTTCCCTCGCTTTGGAAGGATTCCCGCTCACTTCCTGTTGTGGCTAGGAGACAGGAAGTGAAGGGAAATATCCCCAATGGGTCGTAGAACCTGACATGGGATTTATTTAAGTAAATTGAGGCTACAAAGTAACTATTTTTCATAAAGTTGTTCCCATTGAACCCCATATTGGAGACTTTCCTTCCTACCGCACTCTTGATACACCAACAGGGACCGGTTCACCTTGCAGAGCCAGGAGCAGACCGGTCCACGTTGGTCATCATAGACTGGTGGAGACGTATCTACCCTGCAGATGAGGGCGGTCATGTGATTCTCATTTCTATGACCTCACTCCCCGCAATGATTGCTCTGTGTGTGGTGATGTTATTGGTCTGTACAGACCAGATTGTACCCTATACGTCCATCATAACACATCGGCCATTTTATTTCAGAGAACACATCTTATCAGAACACAACAAATCAGATGGATTCTCCGCCATCTTGTACAATCCTATAACACACGGGAGCGATCTGTCCTTCAAAATGTTCAACATTCACATCCAACGGACTGAACAGAACAATAATTTAACCCTGTCCGGGTCCCAGACTCTCCGCACCGTGACCAGCGCCACAGGCAGGGAACACATCGTCCAGTCACAGTTCAGCTGGCAGTATAAGGCACCGTATGACTGGTGGTTAGTCCTGAACACAGAACCAATCACACGCTCGGACAGTCTCAGCATGCAGCCAGTGTTCCGGGCCCCTCAGATGACACGTCCTCAGCTTCAGTCCATCTGAGCTGCATCCAGCTCATCCAGGAAGCGGCGACATTTCCCCATCAGCACCGCGATGGCTTCTTTCATCAGGACGTTGGGGGCCAGGATGCCGGTGGACTCTATGGAAACTGAAAGAGAGAGATGTTAGAGATTCCTGGGGGGGGATGTAAGACGCGTTTGGTGGACAAGAGACGAAGAACATTGGACCAGAGATCATGGAGATACCAAGTGATCAACCAGTTGTGGACACGGGATGTCCTACACACGTCCAAAGAATCTTCTGCCCCGCTGTTCTTCATTTCATCTCCTACAATCCCTATACAGTCCGGGGACACGCATCACATGCCGTACTCACAGATGAAGTGGTCCCGCACCCGCTCCATGCGCACCACGTTCTTCAGGTCCTCGTGGCGGAAGATCTCTCTGCTGCACGTGTCTATCCGTGAGTTCTCCACACGGGCAACTTTCTTCCCTGCAGGTAGGGACACAATGCAGATGATTACAGGGAGCCCCAAACACTGTGCTCGGGTCTATGGCTGGCCAGATAGTGGCTGGATGGTGGAGAGGAAAGGGACGGCTGCAATCTCACCACACCAACCCCCTCTTCCACCCGGCCTCACCAATAACCAGGACAGGTGGACCTACTGGCAATGAGGGACACTCACCACCACCAGTAGGATCCCACACCTCTACCCCAAACCCCCCGCCACCAAGATCCCACACCTCTACCCCAAGCCCCCCACACCAAGACCCCGCACCTCGACCTCAAGCCCCCCCTCCCCCCATGATCCCACACCAAGACGCCAAGTTTCCTGCCCCCTCTGCACCACCACCCCATCAGGTATGAGGAGGAATGACGACACTCCTCACCACCAGAGTGATCGCACAATGATCTCCCCCCCCTCAGTCCTCCTCACCCACAGACTGACGGACCTCACTCACCGTTCACAACATCCACCACGATCACTCCAGGAGAGAAACATGTCTGCAGCCTCTCCGCCAGGTCGCCCTCGATGGGGTGCAGCAACGTGATCTCCGGCAGCAAGCGGTAACTGGCCGTGGCCACTGGGGAGAACTTGGCGTGGTCCTTCCCTGTAAGAGCACACAGAGTTCCACACACATTCAGGCTCTGAACACAAACTGATATAAAACAGTAAACATTTTGTACACTGGAAACCGATTGGTAGAGTTTCTATATCGAGATACAAACATTGAATGTGTGAAAAGATTATCTCCTGGTGTTAACCATCGTATCAGAAGAGAGGGCACCCTAAGAACATCGGACCAGAAGAGAGACCACCCTAAGAACATCGTATCAGAAGAGAGACCACCCTAAGAATATCGGATCAGAAGAGAGACCACCCTAAGAACACGGGACCAGAGATCAGGAGAGATTCCAGGGCTGTCATTCCCATTTTTGGCTCGGCGCCTTAACCTGGAACACTTCTTTGCCTGCCAACCTTGTTCCAGGTCTGACCTATAAAGTATTGAAGCCGAGGATAAGGATGACCACCCAGCCGCCTGCACACTCAAGTCAGCAAAGATGGCTCCCATTTTTCTATCCTACTCCATGCAGATCCCCATCCTTCCTCCCAGGTATCTTACCAATTCCCTTGACGCAGTGCACGACGACGTGGATCTCCTGGCCGGGCCGAAGCAGGGCGATGAGGATGTCGCTGTGCACGGGCCGCGGTGGATCGATGTCGTGGAAGAGATCCGATTGGTTCCCCTGAGGGAGCCACGTCATTTGACTGGTGTATACTGCGAAGGAAAGAGACAGTGTTAGGGGGACAGTCTTGGAGGGGGGGATAGGGGGTTGCAGGGGAAGAGACAAGAGGTATAGGGTAGCATTGGTGGGGGCCCCAGACAGAATAGGGCCCGGGATAGGGAGCAGACACCTCACCTTTATGGTCCAGGTAGAGCTCGCTGGGGTCGGAGGAGTCCTTAGCCGCTCGGGGGTTCCGCTTACATTTCACATTCAGCTCGAACTGCAGCGTGTCGATCTCTGTTCCCTCCTCTTCATCTAAAAGGTAAGAGCAGCCATGAGGACCTCCGACAGCCTCGTATTACACACAGCTGGGTACACAGAGGGGGGGGTCCCCCTCTACTCACCTGAGTTCTGGTACTCGAAGAGTCGCGGGTCAGCGCGGATGGGGATGAGGCCCAGGCGGTGGGCAAGGATCTCGTCCTGTATGATGGACGTGTTCTTATAGACGTAGACCTTCTCTATGGCCATGGTGGGGACCTGCGGGGAGGAGACCCGAACCAGACTGACTACAGGGAGAGAAACAATGGCCCCGCCCACCCAGAGGTACCGCCT